CAAACGAGCCAAAGCCCAACCTACTAAATTGCTTCAAAAAAATGCTTATCGCATTGAAATCTCATTTTTATGTTGTGCCTGCTGTACTGATATTTTCAGTGGTTGGTTATTCCTTGTTCTTTCTGTGTCAGCTGACTTAATGTACAGTTCTTCGGCAGTTTGCGGGTGGCTTGGAGAGTTCCCTTGCATTACAATCGTACCCAAAACACGGTGCAGTCGACACTCAATGAATCTTCCAATTTTTACCTGCTCTACCGTCCAGCTCTCAGATCAATATCTTCATTCGGACTCTTGGCTCTTTCTGTTCGGTGAGTAAATATATGACTTTCGAGTGTTCTGACCAGGTATTATTTGCTTTTCAGTGTTACTTACTGGCAGGACTCTGACAGCCTGGACCCTGCCGTTTTGCATCTTCTAGTACTGCACCCTCCAGTAATGTCGCCAAGCCACCACGGCCTCCACTCCTCACTCACACCAGCCTAGGCTATTGCGCCATCCACCGCCCTCTCAACCTTCCAAATGCCTCTGCACCTGTCGCACAGTGAATTGCAGGCTCACTACTGTACCATTGCGTACATTTCAATTTTCAGTGAATATATCAAACTAACTCAAGCCCACACAGCATTTTTACTTTGTCCAACCGGTGAGGTTTGCAGTCTGAGCTGAGACTGCAAACCTAAGCCGCTCTATGCCAAACACGCTGATCAAGTCCGGTTTAGAGGAGGACCTTTCTGTACTCTTAGTTTTAGTGTCTGTCTGAGCCTACTGGCCATGTCGTATGAGACCTCTCTAAATGATTATTTTACATATTTTCAATCCTCGGTCGCCATTTACACTCAGTGACACTTGTCTCATGCGCAGATCAGAATTTGCCTTGTTTATGTAAGTGCCCGGAGGGCTGTTCTATCAAAATTTCTTTTGATGTGAGTCAGAGACTGGTGCTCGCGCCACCATGATACTGTTAAGCTCAAGACAATGAAATTTCAAGTACATTATTTATAGATGTGTTCAACTAATAATTAACCAATCGCATTGGCGGCAGCAGCTCGAGTGGACTGGAATCTTTGTTGTTTCCCTCGGCTGGAGGAGACAGCCTGTAGCGGATCTGTCCTCTCCTGCACGTGTGCATTGAGCCCGTTTTCTGGCGCTTTGCCGGACGTTCATCTACAACGTTGCTGGGGTTTTGAGCATCAAGTCCCCACCCCCAGAAATAAGCTGCGAAGGCCTTGTTCCCAGTGTCACAGGAGTCGTGGGTGCAGCTACTGAGGATGTGGTGATGGGTATGGTAGTTGTGGGTGCAGCTGGAGAGGGTGTGATGGTGGGTGTGGTGGAGACCTGACCACAGGTGAATGGGTGATGGTAGGCATGTCAACCACTGTGGTGCGAGGTGTGATGACCGACGTGGTGCTAGGCGACGAGAATCTAATGAAATTGTCGAACTGATAACGAAGGTGGGGAGGAGAACAGACCAATCCCGTGGTGGTGTTCTGGAACTGCATGGATTTGAGGGCATCGTCAAAACTCTCGAGATTTGAATCCAGATTAAGAAATGCGGTGGGGGAAGACATAGGGTCCAAAGTGAGTGGCGCTAGCGGTGGTGGACAGAAGGGTACATAGCCCTCTGGCATGGGGATGATGGGCCTATCCAGCTCTTGGTTGATCTCATTGTCTTGAGGAGCGGGGGCAGGTGTTGGAAGAAATTCTCGTAGAAGTGCTCTTCAGGTGGCGCAGGAACTACCTCTTCTTGCGCTAAGTGCGTGGGAGGGAAGATAGGTGCCAAGATAGGTGCCAAGTCTGCCTCTTGGGATGTGGGGTTTGAACCATGTAATGTATCAGGCGCTACAGGCATAGGCATTGGAGGATCATCGTTTGTAAGCATATCGTCTGGAGCGGGTGTTTTATTTGAAGTCCCAGCTTCAGCTATATTATCAGTGAAATGTTTGAAAAAAAAAAATAGTTGGATACATACGGAAAACATGAGACACAAACTCGTAGTAGGGCAGCATAACATTATCGTTAGAAACGCGTGGTTAAATCGATTACCGAGTTTCGTTGACCCTACATGTAAGCTGCTGACATCAATCGCACCCCCATTTGATGGGTCAGGGCCACCGAGGAGGACGCTGAATGTCCATCCTGTGGCCTCATGAAGCTCTCCGAAGAAAGTTGAGAGAATTTCTGTAAGTCTCGGTATAATTCTGTCTTCAATCAGCAAAGGAACAGGCATGAAGATAACACTTACAGATCATTGGTCACCTCAGATGATTTCCTCCCCTTCGCCGCCTCGCGCGCTGCTTCCCTCATCTCTCTCGTAAGTTGAGAGATTTCCTCTTTCACCTCAACGGACTCATTCTCCCAGCAGCGGTCAACATGCTTTCGGATCACCCGAAGGTTCGTCTTCTTTGGGATCGGGGACGTCAGGTTGTTCTTTGATGGCTTTTAGCTCATCTTTAACGCTGGCCTGGACTCGAGTAGTATAATACTTTTTAGCGTAGACTTCGCTTTCCTTGAGAGGACGTTTCCGACCAGCTGTGGGTCCCTTAACGATATTGCTGAGAAGTTTGTGGACAGCCGAATTGCCCGCTGCAGCCGCTTTGCGGCCAGGCTTTGAATTACCATAATCATTACGGAATTTGACCGTCAGGCACTGGATGCAATGTAAGTCCCCAATACCATGCATGAAAAATAAGAAATAGACCTTCTGAAGTGCGGCTTTGAATTTTTCGTTCTCCTCTAATTGAGCCGCGGTGAGAACTTGATCCATAGGAATACCTGGAAACAAGGAAGCCCTCGCGGGCCATTGTTCCTCCCATTGTTCGAAGAAGGGTTGCCAAAAGTGGTATAGTTCCCCTTCTTTTGGCATTCGAGGTAATCATCCTCAAAAGTTGCGATGAAGGCCAGTTCCTCCTGCGTCAGCCATGTACGCGGCGCCATCTATTTGTGTTACATTTAGCATGCCATCACATATGACTATAATTAATTAAATCCATTTCGTCATAACATACCTTTTTTTTTTGGTTCTGTACGCGTTGTCACTGTTTGATGCCAAGGTTAATGCGTAATGCCAATACAGTTTTCCAAGCTCGGAATTTTCCGATTGTCACCGAGCGCTCTGATTTCAAAAGGTGTTGAATCAAGTTCTATACTACCTAGTTGTATTTTGGGCTACTAAGGAATAACATTGTGTTGGGTAAGTTGATGATGTAGTCTATGCTGTTCATGCACTTCAACTAAGGAGTCTACACCTAACATGGCATGACTAAACACGTCTTCTAAGTCAGCCAGAACCCTGCGCACATGAGACACAGAACTATGTGCCCGACTGAGGTCCTGCCCTGTCCCACATTCCTCAAGAACATCGTTTTCTACAGTTTGCGCACGCATAAGGAGGTCTTCCAACCCATTGTGAGCAGACCGCAGGACGTCCAACGAATCTGGCTTATCCGGGTTTGCTATGAGAGCTCACAAAGGCCCTCAACCAATGCTGTGCTTGACGATGACCCAATAAGGACCTGCAGGCTGGCATCGATGTCATCGCATTGCCTTGCCCTTGATCGAGATCATTTAGCCTTATGAACTACTGCTGAAATGAAATAACATACCATTTGTTTTTGCGTTTGTTGTGTGCATCTCGTACTGAGCGCGCCGGTTTGAGGCTACTGGTATTGTCCAAGCTGGGCGATCAGGTAAGTGACAATATTATAGTTGTGCGAGAAACGTACGCCTTTGAATTTGATTTGTTTTGATATTTGATACGGATCTCCTCACGGTTACTAGGTATAGAATGTTCAATGGTTTGAGACATTGATATTTCAATGACATACCGAGCATAATAGGCTTTCCGGGATCGGCGTGCAGCTTCAATTTTCTCCTCAGCTGTATGGTGTGAGCGTGGCCTTCCTACAGTGACAGGCCTATCACACAGCCTAGAACTTAGGTGACCTCGAGTCAGATGTTCAGATATTCAAGTGGCTGGTATGTATCTTACCTATCTTCCTTCCCCTTGTATATCTCCTTTTTTTGCGCACATAGCTTATCGCGGTGACTGTAGTATCAGTGGGTCCACCATCATTAAGAGAAATAACAATAAAGTGAGTGAAGTACCGTGCATAGTAAGCTCGTGTATAAGCGCGTGCAGCTTCTGCCTTTTCTTCTTTAGTGTTGTGTAGACGTGGTCGTGCCATGTGCATAAAAGTGGGTTGAAAGTAAGCCAGTTGAGGCACTCAATATATGTGTAGGAGTTTTGAATGGCTTCACGTAGGAGATTAATTTGGATTTTTATGCGAATTTATCCTACCATTCTCTTACCATCCTTCAAAATTGAACTCTACGAATATCATGCCTACAGTGTAGGGTTTATATCTTAAGTTTAATGTTCTTGATAGGCATGGCGCTTGTATGCTCTCATTAATGTAGTACTTGTTTGCAATATGTTTTGATCAGACGAAGCACACCGACATTCAAGAAAAACCGTTCATTTTGCGACAGCTATGGACATACACAAAATTCACTAAATAATCATGTGCTACAAGGCCTGCGAAGCATCACCGCGATCAATTGCACCCTTCACGATGTTTATCCCTTGCTCGATGGAATCCACCTTGTGGTAGATGGCTCGAGAGACACCGAGCACTTTGGGACCGGTTGCATCCCTACAATGAAGAAATGAGCTACTAGACATCAGAAATTCGGAAAATCCAGCTCACCAGCCTGAAAAGATGCCGATGTAGCGACCTCGAGTCACATAATAGAGCGGCGGGGTGGCATCAACTGGGACATTGAAGTAGGTATCGCGGTAATGAATCAATGTGGAATCATTCGCAAGTGCAGCAGCTGCAGCAGCCGCATCTTCGTCATCAGAGGAGTCGTTTTCCTCGTAATCGACATAGACAGTGACATGCCCTGCAGGAACAACCACAGTGGGAGCAGCAGCATGTGCAGTTGCGGGGGCAGAAGTAGGAGTGGTGCCAGCACTATGGGCAGCAGCTGCGCCAGGAGAAGCAACTGGTGCAGCTTCCCTGGGACTGTCAATGGTTGTAGCAGGGGGGTCATCAGAGACAGCGGGAAGAGCAGCCAATGCCATTTCGGTGCTGCCAGCGGCAGGGCCCAGGCCCATTCTGACGGTGATGTTATCTGTAACATTGCCGAAGCTACATGAGTAATGAAAATATAAAAGAATCAACAGATTCACCATTGGATGTATCACCATCGGTGCCCGTGTCCGTGCCAATGTCTAAGGCCTGAGATAGTGTCTTTTGATCGTCGAGGGAAAGACACTGGAGAAGATTGATGAGACTGTCCAGTCGGACAGATACCATGGTATCTGTCCGACTGGAGGAAGGCAGTTTCTGAGTCATGGGAGTGAGTTAAGTGAGTACCTTGAATAGATAGATAATGTATCACTCACCACGTTCTGAATTTATACTCCATAGGCCGGCGGGGTCGGACGTCCAAGAAATGGAGGATGGGATGACTTCCTTGGATTTGGGAAATGGCGGATCACTGCAAAGTGCCAGATATTAGTAATAATCCACGTGGCACCAGCTGACTAAATCTTGGCAAATCCATCACAGCTTCCATCAACATCGGAATCGGGGATCATCAATCACTGATCGATCGCGCTCAAGCTCTCATGTATGGTCTAGCAGGTAAGTGGATTCTCTAGTACTATCCACCAATCTTCTAAGCTTGCCCGACACCCCAGTACCAGAACCATTTCCGCGGCTCAATTCATGTTCGATTCTTCTCGCGACGCAGATTACATCGCGTTGTCCACAGCATGTGGCCCTTGATATTCTGCATCAAGGTCAGTCATAGTGCATATTACGTGCACAGCTGACTTACCCCTCGAAGAATCAGCATCTCCGCCGTCAATTTGGCATGCATGCTGTCGGTTAGCAAAATGTGAACATTCGACCCGGGCCACAACTTCTGGTGAAGAGGCCACATGTGGTCGAAATCAATAAGCATGGTCTGTACGAATGTGATCGTCTCATCTGAGGTAGTAGGCCACTGCATATACTGTGGTATATGATCTTTCAACCAGTCCTTCTGCACAGGCGTGAAAATCGGCCCTCTGGTTGGGGTTCGATTATATCGCATTATGTATGAACGAATTTCCGAAGACACATGTGCTGGGGGCGGATTGTGGTCTGTTTTTGAATGTCAGGTATGTGGCAGATATCACTATCAATGGGCTCACTTCGATGGGGGCGCAACAAGTATTCAACGGTTGCCGGTGGGATGGCATTATCATTCAATGGTGTTACCATGATTCACGAGGTGGGTGAGGAGGGACAAATTTGTCCATTATTATATACTGGCGGGATCCTCCAATTACAAATGGAGGATCCTCTGACTACCCGACTGAGCTGACAGATTAACCACAGTGCACAATGCCCCGTGGTCGCCCCCCCAAGAGGCCTGCACTTGAACGGGAGGTTTTTGTCCCCGTCTCTATCAACCCCGAACCTCATCTTTTACGACTTCGTGCAGCAGAGATTACCGCTGAAGCACACGGCTGCAAACACACTATGTTGCTGGAATTCCCCCCGAAAATTCATCAAACGACAACATATTTTGGATAGATGACCGCGTTGAGCATCCCAGCGACTCTCAATTTGAGGACGAAACACTTACAGACGACATTGTTGATATTTGTTCCACGGAGAAGCGCAAAGAGACTGCGGCAGTGGGTGTTCTCATTTGATATTCGTTTGGGCATGCTAACTTATTGGACTTTAAGGACAGACCTTTGCTCGCCTGGATTGGGCAACGTCAAATCTTCCTGGACGAAATGCTGCGCCTCAATGGACGCGGGACTGAAGGTGTCACTTGCTCATGTGGTGCAGTATCGCCTCAATTCCGATGCTGTGACTGCCATGGCATTCAAATATTCTGCCGTGAATGTACACTTCAAAACCACGTTCTTCATCCTTTGCATAGGATTGAGGTGTGTTTCATACTTATTTTGGCATCAACGTATGACTGATCCTTGTCAGATATGGAATGGGACTTTTTTTCAGCGTATCACACTCAACAGCTCGGGGTTCGGGTACAACTAGGCCATAACCCAGGAGAAAGGTGCTACAAACCTTCTCCCGCTGCCGGTGATGATTTTGTGGTCATCGCGCTCGATGGTATTCATGAAATCGCCCTGGACTTTTGTGGCTGCGCTTCGGCTCAGATTCGGTATAAACAATTGTTACGTATGCGGTGGTATCCAGCCACAGTCTCAGAGCCTCGAACTGCAGCAACCTTTACGGTTCTGCAGCATTTTCATATTCTATCCTTTGAAAGCAAGGTATCTGCTTACGAGTTCTACCAGTCGCTCGCAAGGTGCACCGACAATTCAGGGTTAGTAGCGATCAGGGTGAGTATTTTAATTTATTCCTGCAACTGTCTGATGATGATATATTCTAGGATCGTTATTCCGCTTTCATGCGGATGGTACGCCAATGGTGTAACCTCAAGCAACTTTCCCGCGGAGGAAGGGGACACGACCCCGCTGGTGTCAATGCTACTGCCGAAGGAGAGTTAGCTGTTCTCTGCCCCGCGTGCCCACAGCCCGGGAAGAATCTTCCACTAGACTGGGAGAAGGAACCTCTATTTACCAGGTAAGATGTTGGTTGTCTTTCCCTGATTTTGCTGAGCTCACACATTATCTGAGCAGATGGAAATATGCGCTGTTTGTTGCAATCGATGCGAACTTTAGATTGAAGCGCAAGGCGGTGTCTTCTGACACTGCTGACCCTAGCCTTAATGCTGGATGGGCGTATTTGTGCACGAAGACTCATACAAATCTTACCTTGCAGATCGTGCTTCCGACAAGCAAGAGGTAAGTAACATGTTTTCAATGATAATTCTCAACTTAGACTTTTTCTGTAGCGAAGCACGTGTGTAAGCCACAATGCAGTTAACATGGCGGATACCAAGTCCTCCCGTGGGCTTGCTGCAACAGGAGTTGGGACGATCGACTGCGCAAGGCACGATATGAAGCTCCCAAACGGAGTTGGAGACCTGCAGAAGGGTGAACAGTATGTATTATATTGCATTTGGAATGTTTTAAGGCTGATGTTACTCAGGTACATTAATATGGACTATATCATGTGTTCTGCGCTCTTCATCCTCGCAATGTCCATGATCAACATATCCTACGACATCGCCTGCCAGTGGCACAAGAGACTCTGGACTCGAATGGAAACGATGCCGGAACAACTTTCTCCCCCCCGCGAATCTTCCCTCATACATTTTTTTGTGCCGAAGTTCCACATCCAGGCCCACATCGATGAGTGTCGCACCAATTTCTCTTTCAACTGGTCGAGGTACGTGGGCCGAACAGACGGCGAAGCCCCTGAACGGGGCTGGTCCAATATAAACCGAGTGGCATCAAGTACCAAGGAAATGGGACCGGGAGCACGCCGGGACACTCTTGACGATCACTTCGGTGATTGGAACTGGAAAAAAATTACAGCATTAGGTGAGCGGTTTCTTTCTTTCAGTCTCAAATTCTGACATAGACTTAGGGCGGACATTGCATAAGAAGATGATTGAAGCTGTAAAGTGGATGAAGGAGCACTCCGAAGCCCTCTCGGAACTGGAGAAGACTATTCAGCCGGCTCTTATCGCGCAGTGGAAGGCAGAGGTGGAATCCTGGGAGGAGGATAACTCCTCTCCGAACCCCTTTGAAAGCCGGTTTAACCGTAAGTGATCCTGGTGTTTTTGCAGTGGTTGTTCTAATAAATGGTAGCGGTTACACAGGCATCCGTACGACTACAACTCACTGAGCTTGAAGCTCAAGACCTTCAAGCTGGAATCAATGTCTCACTTCACACCGATGTCTCTCCAAGCGGATTGATTACATCGGGCATGGATCTCGAGGATCAACAGTAAGTTTTGTATTCATTGTTACACTACACCATACTGACAGTTCTACAGGGCACGCTTAAGATCCAGTCTTGCCAATGTGTCCCTCCACGACACCGACAATCAGAAGGCCATAACATAAACTCAAATTGCCTCCCTCCAACGACGGCTTGATGCCTGGGCCCGCATCCAGGAGCTATACATGCCGGTTGTCTGTCAACTCCGGCATCGATCATCAGAGGCTAGTGGGAGGCCACAGGAACTCAAACCTGAAGACTTCAACCTGTGGCTCCCTTCGCAACTTCCAGCTGGCACCCCCATAGACCTGACGCTCGCTGGCCACGAGTGGGAGCTATGCTACGCGCAGGCCCTCGATGCCCTGAACGAAGTTCGTTCCCACCTCCGGCTTCGATCCCACATGTACAAGTACAAGGATAAAAATGTCCGTGGTCAAGCGGGTTCCACTCGCGCCAAGAAAATCATTGATGCCGTGGAATCGAGGAAGCACGCCAGTGTATTGAAGTACAGACATGCGCACAGTGCCCTGCTGTCTCTTGGCCACCGTCTGGAGAAGTGCGGTTGGGAGCTCACCATGCGCCCACTTCTTGACTCCGATGTTAAGCCTATGGGTGACATGGAGCAGCAAGGGAGAGGAACCATCTCCTGGATTTGGTTAGACTCCCGTGCTGATAACAGCTGTACAGAAAATGAACGCATACAGGATTGTAAGTGTATGGTATGTTTTACTCACATTTATCTGACATTTTGATAGGTGTCCGCTTGGAATGGTGCAAGGCTCGTGCCCGCGCACACCGGTGGTCGGAGGAGGTGGAGTTATTGCTAGAAGAGATGAGACGAGTGCTGGTGTTTTTGAGATGGCAAGGGTCCTGGTGGAAGGAGCGCATAACTCTCTGAACGCTCAACTCAGCACCTGCACAAGAGGGACTGTCAGCGTACGCGTGTCGCCAGTCTGCACTGCATGTGCTGCTGATAGCCAAGTTCATCAGGGAAAAGCTCCCGTGCGAAATTCGCAGAATGACGTGGTTTTAGTCAACTTTCTCAACTTTATCACGTATTATTGCAGAAAGATACATATTCACGGAAAATATGGATGTATATTGAAGTATATATATATAATACATGTCTTTTAAAGCATTAAAAAAACAAGGGAATGTGTCGCACTCAAATGATGCCTTCCACGGCAGCAAATGCGACCAAGCATGGCCTGGACCTCTTTAAAGAAATGTCCAATGAGGTTTTCCGAGTCATTAACAATGCCGCCGTCGGATGCAGCGAAGAAGGCGAGGACATGTGAGCCGAATTGATGCTCGTTGTCATTGAGACGGTTAGTCCAGTCTTGGATGTCTTTTGAGATACATTGCAAGACCTTCTCCTTCTTGCTGGTGAGATCACTCTTATTCCCAACCAGCAGCTTATTGACGCCCTCAGATGCATACCGGTTTATCTCCCATAGCCATTGCTTGACATTCATAAAAGTGTCTTAATGTTAGGGTAAGCATTCAAGTCGGCGCTCCAGAAGTATTCCCACCGTTATCAGTAACATCGTACATAACAATGATACCACGAGCGTGTCTATAGTAGGAGGACGTGATAGTGCGGAATCGCTCTTGGCCTTCTCGCGCCTTGCAGTACACGCCAGATATGTTGTTTGAACTTTGAAATGTTCTCAAGTCCAACATTTGCACTTGTTTGTTTACTCCCACACACACTCACATGACTTTTGGTTGGAACTGTGTTCAACTTTCGACCACAACCACAATCAAGCTGTCCATGTCTCTTACAATGTCTCCGTCCATGCACGAGAGTTTCAGTTCCCCTTGGCCTTGTCGAACGTCTCCTTACAACTTCGTCCGTGTGTACTCCTTCTCGAAATACCGCCCAATAGTCGATGTCAAAGATTCTGCTACTGTGGTTCAATTCCCTTACTTTCTCACTCACTCTTTATCTTAAAAAACCTACTAACTTCCTCTATCCGATAGATCGACTGGCAACCTGACTCACTGACTTTCTTGGTAGATGGAAATGTGACGCGCACGATTATAGCTGCTCAGACCACGAACAACACGATGGGCGTGGTTCAGTTTCCCAACGCACCCACTCGCATTCAGTTGAGGTGGGCGCCATCCATGCACATCTCTTTACAATGCATCCGTCCACGCCCAATGATCAACTCTTCCATGTCATCAAAAAGGAGGTTAGTGTGTTCATTGTCGAGCTCGAGCCTTGCTGACCAACCTTTACAGCTAGTTAGTGTCTTGATCCTCTGGCGAGTTTGAGTTTTGCTGACCACAGAAATCACTTTTCCGTCGAAGCTAGTCAGTGTGGCCATTCTTTAATCTCGAGCCTTGCTGACTGACACAATTATGATCTTATTTCAGGGTTCAAGTGTGCCCATTGTCTGTCAACCTCGAGTCTTGCTGACCGGAGCAAATTGATTGTTGTTATGGTGTAAGTGTATTGCTCTGTTGATGTTGAGCCTTGCTAACTGCTCCTTCATGTCTAGTGATTTTTTTCATCTGTTGCTACTATCTGCTCATTTGTGTTCATTGCAATCTCCCCGTTCATTAGTAGTTATGTAGTATATTGTATATTGAGTCTGAATGACAATATAATATTTGTTTCGCCTTCGTCATTGTGATATTGCTCGAGGATCATCTATTACAAAGATTTATTAATGCTGCACACTTTATTGCATTTTATTGCACTTTTGCCCACTTTATTCCAACGAAGGCATCAGGGGGCTGTTGGTTAGTTCATAAATGTCACTAATGTGAAACATGATGATAAAACACAATAAAACTTGATAAAACACCATCATTTACACAAATTCACCCGATTTCCCGGAAGAGGTTTTCCCTGATGTTTCAAAGGCTGTGGAGTGATGTGCCTACCCTTGTCTCTGGTGGTGTCCTGATTCCAGAGAGCGGAGAGGTAGATACACCTACTATTGACGCTCCCTTGCAGTTATAAATATACATATATCACGTGATTGTTCTTAATATTAACGCGGGGAAAGAAGCAACGCTGGAGAATGGTAAGGGCGGAGATCACAGATCGCAGAATGCCAAAAACGAGACCATCTATGATGGATCTCAAGTCACATACCATAGATCTCAGATGAATCAGCTAATAGCGCTTGGAGCAGGGAACTAGAGGGAGCTGCAGGTGTAATAGATTCATATATCACTGGGAGCTATGGCAGTGAGCAACTATTGTATCACATTTACACTACACTACCAGTGAGTAATATATCAATACCACGGCTACTGGTGCCAAACCCCTCATTTGCGTTACAATGATTTCCCTACACTAGCCACTAAGCACAGCCGAGCTGTCTGCGGGTTTACGCTCCCACACGGTTTCAAAATGCACGCGGGCATTGCTCGCGCACTAAGAGGACTGACAGCCGTAAGTGCCAGGACAATGATCGTCAACAAATTCATCTAGACCATCATCAGTGTCATAAGCCGGATCTACAGGTTGGTGAGGTGACCCTTATCGTCCGTCAAAAGTGCCAGATTTTAAAGCTAGGTGCGGTATTTTTTTGTTGGCTGTTCGTCAGTTCTGTCCTCACGCGCTTTATAGCTGCTGGTTCAAGTATTAATTTGTAAGTTCGAAAACAGCAATCATGCCTAGTCTCCCCTGGGCGGACAAAGACATCCACCCCATATCAAACAATATGGCATGCGTGATTGAAGCCAATCAACTTGATCCAATCATAGGACTTTGTATTCATCAGGAAAAATGTCAGCCATCAGTTGCACTAAGCAAGAATATGTAGCACTATGTAGGCCACATAGCTCAACAGACCATCCTCGTATGATACATAGCGCAATAGAGCGCCCTCGTATGAT